AAAAGTATCTATCAAATATCTATCTGACTAAAAATACCTAACACTACCCACCCGGCAGCGCATTAAGGACAGAAGAAGCCTGTGGGTTAAAGGCAGCTCTGGACAAACAACGGTCTTTTTTCACGAGGCCGGTGAAAAAATCACTATAAGCTACTGAAGCTTCGTTTAGAGCTGCGAACTTTTTGATAAAGAGCAAGAAAGCCTTTTCGGATGGGGAGATTTTTAAAGAAGTTATGATGATTGTTGCAAACACAGTCTTCAAAGATGAGAAGCATGGTCCCGATGTCATCTCTGCCCTCTCCGATAGTAGAGGGCTCCGTTATTGTGAGGGTTCGGGCCTGTGAGGTCGCCCCTCACAGGTTCCGGCCCGGCGTGCTCGTGGGCCCGGTCCGGTACAGGCTGTGAGGCTCACCTCACGGCCCCTCAGCTTGGGGGCCCCGGTCCCGCTGAGGACAGGCTGTGAGGCTCGCTACATTAAATTATGTTGGAAAAATATCCTTATTGTTTCAAAAAGTAAAAAAATAAATGTTGAGATTACAAATAGTGGAATATGCTTAAAATATTTTTTGTTTTTATTGCAGAATGCAACTCCTCAGATGGCTGAAAGTAACACACACTGGTGCAGCTGCCTTGTAAATCACAAGAAATGCCAAAGCATAGTCTCCTAAATAGCAGCTATGCCTTTGCTTATTACTTCCATTCATAATAACAGACTAGTAATGCCCAAAACAAAACAACATAGGATCATTTAAAATTAAAGGCCCACACATTGGTCAAAACCTCCTGGTTTTTGTATCACTGTAGTATCTCACCTGTCCCTGCCCCTGGTGTGATGTGAATCTTCAGTGGTGTAAAAGACATTTTTAATTGCTGTCACATAGTTACAATTAATTTTATGACTATGAAATAAACATGGTTAAGTGAACAAGCCCACCAGGCACAGGCTCAGGGCCCGCTGAGCATCTGAATGAAGCGACTGTTAACATTTATCACTGGAAAGTCAGTCAAATGACTACAAAGAGACACTAAAGAAGTAAAAGACACAAGACAACCACAAAGAGATCAATCTCTGCATCTTGCTTGTAAGTGGGAGGGTGGGGACCTCTTACATGTCTGTGCCCTGGGGCCCATTCTTATAATCCATCCATGGAAGTGAGATTATTTTCTCTCAAAGGCAAGAATTAGTACCATGCATCTGAATGCATTACCCAATCAACACTTTGCATAAAGGTATTACAACACACAGTGAAAACAGTCATTCATTTTTAATATTTTCTTCCCCCAAGTCATTGAGTGTTAAATTGGTCACCTGTGTGTCCATGTAAACTGTACACAGGTAGTCTGTGATCAATTCTGATATTTTGGAATGGGTTTAAGTGTTTTACCCTCACACACAAACACACAAATGTGGACTCAACTATTGCATATGTTTATTAATATGCACAGGACTACATGACCCACAGGTGTAGCTCAGAATTCATAATAAACATATCACAGTAATAAAAAATATGGCATGAGTATATCATACAAAAAATAATTTCCTTAAATTTGAGTATCAATAATAACAAACTGAGGAAAACTTTCACAATTTATAAAAACACTGTAAACTCAAAATTACATTTCTGGGCATCTGGGGTCAGATGCATAAAAATTCTGTGTAGGTTAAAGACAGACTTTCTTAATTAATACAAAAGTAGAAAACACATCTGCACATTTTCATGTTTCATATATTTTACTGTAAAGTTGTGTGCAGGTACACCCACCTGATCCCTACTCTCACAGTTATCTGCAACCTTAATCAAATGCTCGTAAATCAGCGCCTCCATGTGCTACACAAACTTTGACATGGTAGTAAAAAGAACAGTAAAACAGTGCAATTTCTTTAAAGTCAGTTGCACTGGCAAAGTTCTCCATTAGCATACATGGGAACATAGAGAACACCAAAGGAAACAAAACATAAATATGCATTTGACTGCATCTAATATATAACTGCAGATACTTTTAGCACAAAAGTTATTCATGCCAAGTGGCCCCTAATCTAAAATACTTGTTATATTTACTTCCTCAGCCTTTTTTCCAAATTATGCTTGACAAATTAAGCTCAGTTTTGACACACGTGTGAGATGTACACCTTCTCACTGTGTGCTCTTTACTGTAAATGTGTGACAACTGCCATGTGAATGATTTATGGTCATAGGCATTGTTTATACATCTGACCCCAGGACTTTACTGAACTTGTGATTCGAAAAAGAAAACACCTTTAAAAATGTATTTATGTGAGTGCTGTAGAAACTATCTGGCTGCACGTTGTTAATTTTCACTTCTCAAAAACAATACTGACTGAGCCTCAGTGATTTCCCATTAAATTCCTCATCTTTTCCAATGAGACATGAGGTAGAGAGGATGTAAATCAGCAGATCCTCCTCAGTGACTGACAAAAAACAACTTCCATGTGCAGCTGGGGTTTGTTGCTTACCAAGTTCATAATGCGGCTTAGCATTGCCAGCATACAAGAAACATTCACTGTCTCTGTGTGTTTAAAAAAACAGCTTTGTGTGCAATAACAGCATGTGTTTTCAATGTGGAAAAGCTGATGAGAAACTAATCTACAGCAAGTGTCAAGCATTGCATCTTAGTGGTACAAGAAATTATTTTACATTAAGTGACTTAATGGCTGTCTTATCGGTTACACATGCAGACGAGTGATAAAATGAGTGATCTGTTCCAGAATGACAATGTCCCCGTCTATACGATGGATGGTTTGATGAGCCTGAATATGATGTGAAACGTGCTATGGCCTTCATGGTCACATGATCTCAACCCAGTTGAACACCAATGGGAGATTTTGGCCCGAAGTGTTAGACTCTACACCACTGTTATCAACACACCAAATGAGGGAATATCTTTTGAAGGAATGGTGTTCATCACTCCAGTGGAGTTCAGAGCACATAGTGGGCCCAACACTTTACTGAGACTCTTTGTGTTAGTTTTTCCTTTGTCACCCATCTATTAATTGCTCTAGGGTTAGGGTTAAACAGATTCAGGGGACATTGCCTTCCTCCATTAGATGATGCTTATCGTGTCCTTTCATGCTGCTGCATTTGAAGTCACTGCACTGAATAGTGTTTTAAAAGAGAAACAAAATAACAGGTATACACTTTCTGGTAACAAAAAAACAAAAAAAAAAGGAAATGTTTACAGCATTTAGCACGTGTGTATACATATAGTCAATTGCATCATAATATTTTTCACTTTTAGTAAAGAGGACATGGTTTGTAGTGTGAGTAGAAAGGAACAAGTTTGTGTCTGTGAAAAGACTGTCATTAGGAAAAGCCTTTGCTTGCTTCACTCAGAGGTTCACAGTCTAGCAGTCCAAAAACTCATCGATTCATGATTCTGTGAGAGAAGCCAAGTTGTGTCTCCTGTGCGCAACTGATTTTTCTCTCTTATGTGTGGGAATAAAATTTAGAGGGTGGGGATGCACAGTGACTGCAGGAAGGGAAGAGTAGGCTACTCTGCTGCGTATGTGTGGTGCGTCAACTGATACCAGTTACTGCTGCCTAATACTGTCCGTTCTGATTTAACCAATTTTTCTCATAATCACACTCAATTTCACTCTTTTGGTTCAAACTGGTTCAATTACTTTACCATTAACAGTTTCTACTGAGATGCTGTGCACAGTAGAGATGGGCGGATGATACTGAATCGCTGAAGCTGGCTTTGCTCCAGCGAAGCACTGTTTCAATAAGGTGTTGGGGCTTGAATCAAATGAAGAATACCAACGTGACCGGTAATGTCTGAAGCGTCAAATGTTACTGGAGGTTCAGAGTTTTGCAGCTACACCAGGCACATTTCATGAAATAAGGAAATCAATGAGAAAAATGGCAATATACACTAGAAAGACAAGTATGAGAACATATCCATCAGGTATCAAGGAAGAATTTAAAGAACATCTCTCTCCAGTCACATCAATTGGCATGTCACATAAATCAACCACAAAGTTCAACGGCACTAATAAAGTACATAAATTTGTAGTGGCACCAAAAATATTTTCTATGTAGGATTTGTTCTCTGAGACTTTTACTTCTCTGCGCCTGTTTTGTTTTATGCATCAAAGCTTTTTAGAATAGAAAGCTTCAAAGTTTCATAAGGTTTCATCCACCCATCACTAGCATGCAGTCACCTGCTGGATCCACAAAGATGAAACTGATAATTGATCTTCCCATGTGTTTCTGGATATGAAAACACACCCTAACTTTCATACCAATAAATTCTGCTATCTACTTGAATAAAATATTTCATTGCAGGTTTTGGAGAATTTGATGTGGCTGTAGTCAGGGAGGGAAACCAACAGTGGCAGTGGTAGTGATTAAAAAACTAACCAAAACAAACACTAATATAGGCAAATTGATATTACTCTGACCTTAGTGTAAGAGGTCCATCAGAATAACATTAGGCAAGAACACCCAACACGTCTTGCGTTAGCAGGGTCAGGAGAGCTTGTTCAGCTTAGCTCATAAGTTCATATACTGGGTGCTTATAGAAACCATTTCTCTTTGCAAGCATGAGAAAATGGCCAAAAGAGAAGCGATGTGCTGGACACTGTCAAGGTGTTAGGAGTCTGTGTTTCTCAGCTCTCGTCCTCAAGACGGTGTTGCTCCAACAGACGAACGTGGGTAAAGGGAAAGTGGCCTCGCTTGCCCTTGCATTCACCCTCCCATTGGCCGTTCACGTTAATCTTGGTCACTTTTACCATGTCTCCCACCTGTTAAATGACAAAAAGGACAAATGCTGGGACAAAATTCACACAAATATGCCTTCTCTCGCTCTCTCTTTATTTAAACAGCTAGATATGCAGGTCTGACATCCACATTCTTAGTCCCACTCACAAAGCTCTGGTTTGTCATTTGTTCCTCCAACCAGGAGAAGGAGTCTGCTACAAAGAAATATTTTCTGAACAAAATCTGAGATAGGAGAAGGAGAAATATTTTCTGAACAAAATCTGAGATAAATGGGGTTAATTCAGAAGTCTGGAGGAGACTAAAGCAGCTTTATTTGGCTTAAATCTCTGTGACTACTTTACATGAGTTGGTGATCTGTCTGTTCCAGTAGCTCAACTGTGAATTTTTGTGTTAGAAATTAAAAATGTGAAGTAGTTATCCAGAGAAACTAAATTCCTGCAATTAGATAAACCTCATAGAATGCCAAAATCAAGGTTATAAACTGTTATTTGTTATAGTCATCACCTAAACCGAAAGCACTGAGTACAACACTGTTAATCTATACTTGGGCCAGCAGCATAAATATACTGGGACCCATTTTACCATCAGCAGAGGTTCATAATCACAATGCAGTGTCATCTAGTCTGCTTCATCTCACACAGCAGCACGTATACACCGGCTTCACTCTTGTTAAATGAAACAAAATGGTGGCGACAGTGTTTCTTGACAAGACTCAAAATAAACAAGACTGCACACAGAGCACCAAGAGCCTCAGCAACTGATGGCTGTGAATAATATTAGAGATGCTCTGCTGAACGCTGGTGCCACACCAGCACTTGTCCAAAGGTTGTGTCCACAACACAAGCTGTCAAGATAACAGGTGCTGATTAAATCTAATTTAGCTGTAAATTTCTTTAACTGAATACAGCTTTAGCTTTGTAATCTCTCCTGCAGTTCTCTATGAGTAGTGTAGCCCCAATGCAAGTATCAATGTGATGGAAACAAGTTGGGAGGAGTCTGTGAGAAAAAAAAAACTACCACACAACAACCCACAATATGACAAAATATACCCACAGGGTCTTTTACAGGGGCTACATGCTAGCTAGCATTAGAGTTGAAATGATTAGCCGATTATTCACTTAACTAACCAAAAGAAAATTAATCAGCAACTACTTTAATAATCAACTTTCATTAATTTTTCTAATCACAAAATCAATCTGTAAAAATGTAATCCATTAAGTTTGGGTACTGTAAGTTAGCAGGACAGACTCATTAACAATCAGTTTGTGCACAACGAGCTGATTTTGGTAAACTGTGTGTGTGATGTGGGAACAATGCGAGTTCCATTAACTGGAATCGCAACAGACTAAATGATGTCAAACTGCCTTTATTAACCTCCGCTGTTTGCATTTCATTTACTAAGCTGAACAAAGACTGCTTATTTAGCTGATCCAAGAAATAAACTAAACCCAGTGTGCCTTGTGCACCACTGGTAATGAATGTACAATGTAACATTCACATTAATCCAATGGGCCACAATATTTACATAAAGAGAGGCCTTTGTAAAGGATCTATATCCATTTTTCTCTACAGAGCCATCCCACTGTGAGCGTCTTCATATGTACTGGCATTTTGTAAAGATACTCTGTGAGTATACTGCTCACATGCATGAGTAAGCCATTAACAATCAGGACAATCTACAATGCCTCAGCTGACACCCAGAAAAAGAAAGCAGAGGCAGAAATGGTTAACAGTGAAAAGAAGGACAGACTTGAAGAAAATTAATGGTGGGTGGAACCACTACCTCCAGAGCAAGTGCTGTCTTGTCGTAGGCATTAGGCACCCTCTTCTGAATGGCTCGAGCATATACAGGCCCGTTCTGTAGGTTGGGAAGCTGAGTGCTGACCACTGGCTGAGCATATTGGCCTGGGTCTCCCAAAGGGTTGACTATAGGGGAAGCTGTTCCATCAGTGCTGCCCGCTACACCCTGTCCAGCCCCTACAACTGGGGAACTCAGGCCGGTGGCGGTGGGTGAGGCAGGCCGATACTTCTCTACATAGGGCACGGGGATCATTCCGGCTCGGCCCTCCTGGTTAGCAGCATTCCACCACTGCTCCTCAGGCTTCTCTAAAACACGCAGGATGTCACCCTTTCGGAAGGGGAGGTCCTCTTCATCGTTGCCAGGGAAGTCAAACAGCGCCCTGACATATTCTGCCTCCTGAGGTTGCTGCGAAACACCAACAGAGGAGGAGTTGATGAAACCTGTTTGCTTGGCCTTACTTATGGGCTCTATAAGTGTAGTGGTGTCCAGGTAGTGGATCTTATAAAACTCCAGCAGGGTCGGCAGAGCCTCAAACTCCTGATCCCCAATTCGAAATCGAGGAGGAGCCAAACCTGGCAAAGGAAAAGTGATTGAGAGTTTGTCAAAGGCACAACATAAACACACAGTTCAGCAAATTAAAATATCCATGGACAGACCATGAAGGTCCATGAATACTGGCAGAACTGACCGGCTTGTCCTGCTTTTCAATTCACACTGCAAACAAGAACTATTCTTTTAAAGTCCAATCATATCCTGCTGAGGGAACTAACCTTTGGTGGAGGTGACAGAGCTAAAGGCAATCTGACAACTTTTCATCTGAAGATATCTCACACAAAAATAAATCATACATGCATGCTTCAAAATAATTCTGAAATCCCAGACAAAACAGCTGGTGCACCAATGCCCATTGTTTTCTTCTTGTTCATTCTTGGTACTGTTAGATGTATATTCTGGGCCATCACCATGCTGGCAGAGCCATGAGCTGTGACTGAGACAGAGCTCT